TTGCTGATACCTACCCTCTACCTACTGTATGCACATCTTGCTGATACGTACAATGAACACAAGCAGAGGAAAACTTCTATCTAGCATGGGTGAGGGTGGGGAGGCATGAGAGCAGAAATAAGCGAATGGTTAACTCAGTAAGTTATATTGTGCTTTAGAAGGTGTCTCTTTTATTACTGTTATTGAGAAAATGTGCCTTAGATCAGCAATCAGAGCTAACCTTCTACAGTTTCCCCCTAATGAGACAGACTTACTCATCTAATCAGAGAGCCAAAAGACCACAACCTCTCCCTCCCCCCATTGTTTTCAGGGCTATAGCTTCCCCTGACCTGGTCATCTTTCTTAAATCAACTGTAATGAAATGCGCCCATTTAAAGTATGCAGATAGATGAGGTGTTTTTGTTTTAAGATTTTATTTTTAAGGGCGCCTAGGTGACTCAGTCAGTTAAGCTTCTGCCTTTGACTCAGGTCACGATCCTGGAATCCTGGGATTGAGTCCCCCAGTGGGCTCCCTGCTCGGTGGGGAGTCTGCTTCTCCCTCTGCCTCTTCCCCTCCCCCACTCGTGCTCTCTCTCTCTCTCTCTCTCAAATAAATAAATAAAATCTTAAAACAATATTTTATTTTTAAGTAATCTCTATACCCAATGTGGTGCTCAAACTTACAACCCCTAGATCAAGAGTCACATGCTCTACTGACTGAGCCAGCCAGGTGCCCTGGAGAGAGATGAGTTTTGACAAATTTCTACACCACCACAATCAAGATATAGAATATTTCCTTTACTCAAAAAAGTTTCCTCAAATATCTTCACAGAACCCCCCCCAACATATACACAGACAGCAACCATAGATTAGTTTGCCTCTCCCAGAATTTCTTATAAATGTAATCATCATACGTACTCTTTGCATCTTGTTGCTTTTGCTCAGCATATTTTTGAGACTAATCCATGTTGTTGTAAGTAGTTTTTTAAATCATTTTTAAAAAATATTTTATTTATTTATTTGAGAGAGAGAGAGTGAGCACAAGCAGGGGTAGTGGCAGGCAGAGGGAGAAGCAGGCTCCCCACTGAGCAGGGAGCCCCATATGGGACTCGATCCCAGGACCCTGGGATCATGACCGGAGCCGAAGGCAGACGCTTAACCAACTGAGTCACCCAGGTGCCCCAGAAGTAGTTTTTAATATCTATTGCTGAGTAATGTTGCATTGTATGGATATACCACAATTTGTGTATCTATTCACCAGTTGACAGATACTGGAATTTCTTCTAGGTTTTTGCTATTATGAATGAAGCTGCTGGGACGATTCATGTAAAAGTCTGTGAAAGGAAGTTTTTGTTTTTCTTGGGTAAATGCCTAGGACTTCGTGGGTCATATAAGTATATTCTTAACTTCATAAGAATTTGTGAACTCTTTTCCAAAGGGATCATAGCATATTGTACATTTCCACCGACAGCTCCTGTGTGTCTGCATCCTCATCAACATTTGATTTGCACAGTCCTCTTAATTCTATAGCCCTCCTGGTCGGCACGTGGGAGTATTTCACTGTGGTTTAATTTACATTTCTCTGATGACTAATGATATTGAGCATCTTTTCATGTAATTATTGTCCATTCCTGTGTCTTTTTTGTGAAGTGTCAGTTCAAGTCTTTTGCCCATTTTAAAATAAGACTTTCCGGGAACACTCCTACACTGTTGGTGGGAATGCAAGCTGGTGCAGCCACTCTGGAAAACAGTATGGGGGTTCCTCAAACAGTTGAAAATAGAGCTACCCTACGACCCAGCAATTGCACTACTCGGTATTTACCCCAAAGATACAAATGTAAGGGGTACGTGCACCCCGATGTTTATAGCAGCAATGTCCACAATAGCCAAACTATGGAAAGAGCCCAGACGTCCATCAACAGATGAATGGATAAAGAAGATGTGGCATATATGTACAATGGAATATTATGCAACCATCAAAAAAATGAAATCTTGCCATTTGCAATGACATGGATGGAACTAGAGGGTATTATGCTAAGCGAAGTAAGTCAATCAGAGAAAGACAAGTATCATATGATCTCACTGATATGAGAAATTTGAGAAACAAGACAGAGGATCATAGGGGAAGGGAGGGAAAAATGAAACAAGACAAAACCAGAGAGCAAGACAAACCATAAGAGACTCTTAATCTCAGGAAACAAACTGAGGGTTGCTGGAGTGGTGGGGGGTGGGAGGGATGAGGTGGCTGGGTGATGGACACTGGGGAGGGTATGTGCTATGGTGAGCGCTGTGAATTGTGTAAGACTGATGAATCACAGACCTGTACCCCTGAAACAAATAATACATTATATGTTAATAAAAAATTTAATTTAATTTAATTTAAAAAATAAAATAAAATAAGGCTTTCCCCCACTTCTCATTATTGAGGTGTAAGAATCCTTTACATCCTCTGGATACTTATTCTTTGTCAGATACATGGATTGCAAATATTTTCTCCTCTCTATAGATTGTCATTTCATTTTTTATTAAATTTTTGAGGAAAGACATTTTTTAATGTTGATGAAATAAAACTTGTCAATTCCCTTCTTTTGTAGTCTGTACTATTCCTACCTAAGGAATCCTCACCTGCTGAGCATAGATTTTTCCATTATGTTTTCTTCTAGAAGTTTATTAGTGTTAGCTTTTATATAGAGGTTTGTGATCAATTTCAAGTTAATTTTTGTGTGTGGTGTGAGATAAGAGTGAAAGTTCTTTTTTTCTTTTCCATATGGATATCTAGTTGTTCCAGCACCATGGTTGAAGGGACTACCCATCCCACATTGACTTAGATTGGCACCGTTGTAAAAAATCAATTAACCAGATATGAGTGGCCTTGTCTCTGGACTCTATTCCGCTGCATGAATTTATATGTCTGACTTTATACCAACACCACGTGGCCTTGACTGCCTTATGGGAAGTCTGAAGTGAGGTAGTGTTAAGTCCTTCAACTTATTCTTTGTTTCAACATTATTTTGCTTATTCTGGCTCTTTTACATTTTTGTACAATTTCAGAATCAGCCTGTCAGTTTATTTTTTAAAAAGCCTATTGCAGTTATTGCAATTTATATTGGGATTACATTGAACCTGTAGATCAATTTGAGGAGAACCGACGTCTGACCAATACTGAGTTTTCTGAACTCATGTGTTCTCTCTCTGTTTTTTGAAGGCTTTTCTCTCAGCAGTGGTTTGTGTTCAGTGTACACAGCTTGCCCAGATTTTGTCAGATTTGTTTTTAAGTATGAAATGCACCCATTTTTCATGCTATTATAAATGTGGTTATTTTTTTATTTCAATTCCTAATTGCTTATTGCTAGTATGTAGAAATACAATTGAGTTCACATCTTGATCTTACGTACTGCAACCTTCAGTACTGTACACATGCTGAAGAAGGGGGCATGCCTCTCCCCACTTCACTATATGGACTTCTCTGTCAAGAATGTAGTTGGTGAAAAGTCCAGAATTCTTGCTATAGTAATGTAAACATATAATAAGTTATCACTATTAAGCAGCAGTGGTTTCCAGGAGAATCTTTTAGCCCTTTCCTCATGATTGCCGAATAGGTCCTACAACTGCAATCCTCACACCCTTGGTCAAGGCAGGAAGACAGAGAGAGAAGGAGGGACCAGACACATTAGTTCCCTACCAGCAACATATGATTCTCTAAAACAGCAGTTCTCGACTGGAGGTGATGTTACTACCTAGGAGACATTTGACAATGTCCAGAGATGTTAGTAGTTGTCACAACTAAGGGGGTGCTCTTGACATGTAGTAGGTAAGGAAGCTGCAAAACATTCTACAACACAGACTCCCACAATATAGGATTATCCCGTGAAAAATGTCTAAGTGTCAAGGTTGAGAAACCCTGCTCTAAACCGCGCTGACAGACTTTCACTTAGGTCCCATTGGCCGGATTTTGGCATATGGCCATCTCTAGCTTCAAGGGAGACTAGAGTAGTAGGAAGCATTGATTGTAATGATTAGATTATATCTATGGTGCCCCATAATCTGGGTCCAGGCGTATTGGTTTCCCAAAAAAATCAGAGTTCTGTTTGCAAGGAAGAAGAGGGAGATGGATAGTGAGTAAGCAAATCAATATCTGCTATGAGTATATAGTAAAGAAAATCTCCCCAGCTTCCCAGAGTCTCCCAGGGACCCAGATAAGAACATTTTCCATTTTTTTCAATAAGTCCTCTGTTCCTAGGCCTCAGAATTACCAGCACATAGATGCATGCATGAAATTTCTATATAATGTTCTAGATTTCTTGGGAGAATAGAAGTAGGTACTTCTAATAATTTTTTTTTAAAACTTTGAACTGCATTGCCAATATCTTGGGCACGAAGAAAGACTTTATATTGTGCTTTGAGCCTTAATTAAATATAGGCTAGAGGAGTAGGTGAACATTTAGCTGTTATTAAGATAAAGAAATCAAGAAATGAAGTAATTTGCCATTGGCCACACAATACCGAGTCAAGATGAATACTATATTCCTGTGCTTCACAGCCAGTCAGCAGGCTCCCCCATACACTCTATGGACCCTGTGCCAATTAGATTAATCAAAATGAGAATTTATTAGTTTTCTGGGAAGACTGGAATACAGCTAGCTACAAACCAAGCTGAGTCCTGATGGTCAAAGGATCTTATCAGGTTCATTTCTATCTCTTGGCTCTGTCTGGTGACTTCCAGCAAACCCAGCCTTACCTCCTTTTCGGGGAAAGAGAATGTATCTACCAGAGTCCTAACAGGAAACAAAGAGCACACTCAAAATCAGATGACATGAGGACAATTTAGTAAAGGTGATTTGCCGTGGTGAGTGCAGCTTTTGAGGAAACCAGCAAAAGCTAGTGTAGAACTTGGTGCCATAATCCACCAGGAGCTATTGTTATCCCTGCACCTGAGGGGCAGGGGAAAGAAGGAGTTACTGGGAACTGGAGTGGCGGCTCTATGGAGAAGCCTTTCTGACAGGAGCTGTGGCATTTGGTAGAGAGCCCAGGCTTTCCCCAATACCACCCGCTGGTTCGTCACCTGCATCAACCAGCCACCGTTCCAGGCCGTCCTGGGGGAGGTGAAGCTCTGCGAGAAGATGGCCCAGTTTGACGCTAAAAAGTTTGCAGAGAGCCAGCCTAAAAAAGACACCCCACGGAAAGAGAAGGGTTCTCGGGAAGAGAAGCAGAAGACCTAGGCTGAGTGGAAAGAGGAGAAAAAGGCTGTTGCCCCTGCTCCTGAGGAGGAGATGGATGAATGTGAGCAGGCACTGGCTGCTGAGCCGAAGGCCAAGGACCCCTTTGCTCACCTGCCCAAGAGTACCTTTGTGTTGGACGAATTTAAGCGCAAGTACTCCAATGAGGACACTCTTTCTGTGGCGCTGCCATATTTTTGGGAGCACTTTGATAAGGATGGCTGGTCTCTGTGGTACGCTGAGTACCACTTCCCTAAAGAGCTCACCCAGACCTTCATGAGTTGCAACCTCATCACTGGAATGTTCCAGCGGTTGGACAAGCTGAGGAAGAATGCCTTTGCCAGTGGCATCCTCTTTGGAACCAACAATAGCAGCTCCATTTCTGGAGCTTGGGTCTTCCGAAGCCAGGAGCTTGCCTTTCCTCTGAGTCCAGATTGGCAGGTGGACTACGAGTCATATACATGGCGGAAACTGGATCCTGGCAGTGAGGAGACCCAGACGCTGGTTCGAGAGTACTTTTCCTGGGAGGGGGCCTTCCAGCATGTGGGCAAAACCTTCAATCAGGGCAAGATCTTCAAGTGAACACGTCTTGCCATCGCCTAGGTGCCTGTACCCGCCCTTCAGGGAGATGGGGGTCATTAAAGGAAACTGAACATTGACAAAAAAAAAAAAAAAAGGCAGCCTGGCCTCTACCCTCCCTCTCACCCATCTGCTGGTGGTGTCCCCACTGGCTCAGTCCAGTGGGAAGGTGAAAGATAAGGGAGGCTCCCAGGACAATGAACAGGTGACCACATGGCCAGAATATGTCTGGAGAGGCTAACAGAAGAGAGCCAGTACAGAGGTTTGTTTTCCCTCTCAGATCTGTTACTCATCGCAGAACAGAAATTTGACTGGCTTGCTTGAGCCCCATGCCTATCTCTGTGGTCAGATGGAGAAGAGCCTTGTGACTGACCAGATCCACCAGTGAGAGAGAGGTGACTCCCCGAAGGAAGGAGTGCTTTCAGGTAATTACAACATGGCCACTCCAGACCCCAAACCCCTGCCTCAATGAAAGAAAACATTAAGGCCATTGCTTGAATGATTAGAGAAATCAGCTAGAACTTTCTTATTTCTATAACTTTATTTCTTTATATATTTGTTTGTGTTTGTTAATTATAAATACCATTTCATAATAAAAGCAGTACAGACTCAGGGGTTAAGGATCTACCCAACCAAACTGTCAGTGATTTGTGAGGCAGAATAAAGGCATTTTTAGACACGTGACATCTCAAAAAATGTACTTCTTATGCACTACTTCTCAGGAATATCCTCAAGAATATGCTTCCTCCGAATGAGGGAATAAAACAAAGAGAAGAAGATATGGGGCCAGGGACCAGGAAGGCTAACGCAGCAGGGGAGAGGGATTCCTTTGGACAATGAAGAAGGATGTCACAGGTTGGCAACCATACAAAGAGCAGCTGGACAGGAGAGAGCTGAAGCTGGAGAATTCTGGAAGTCATGTCTTCAAGGGGGAAATAAACAACAACAAAAAAATCAACAAATCACTTAATGACTCTGAATGTATTGAGAGATTTATAGTGTTGTCAAGAAAGTCAGAAAGTAAATTAATGATAGGTAATTGCAAAGCAAAGTGAACAAAAACTCACATGTGCAAACGAACAAATAAATCCAAGTCAATTACTATCTCTAGGGGGAAAATAATACAAGAAAGAAATGTATTCACAGTATACTCTGTGGCTCTGTTATCAATAATATTGCATGTGATGAAAAATATGGATAATTAATATGACTTTAATAAAAAATTGTGACATAACCATACTGATAAGATGGGAGTGGGGGTAGAAAGTGATATAAGTGTATGGAATGGAAAAATAATGAAATTTTTTTCCTCCACTTGGATCAGTGTATTGAATGAGTTAGCACAGAGAAACTTCATTTTTATCAAACCACAGCTCTTTTTTCAAACACACTCTATTTGAAGTATTTTTCCCTACCCATGGAAACAATGTCACACAGATCCCATAATCACTTTCAGGTAATGACAGGAAGTCTGTCTTTTGGGTGTTAAAGTCTAATCATGTCCATTCTGATATCAACACTGTAATCAAGATTCTGCTTTCCTTCCTTCCTTCCTTCTTTTCTTCTTCCTTCCTTTTTTCTTTTCTTTCTTCTTTCCTTCTTTCTGTCTCTCCCCCTCATAGCAGACTCTTCATGCCAGTTAGCATTCTCCCTCTGGTCGTTCTCAGGCTCCCCCCTCAAGCCCCCCTCATCAGTGAGATTATTAGTGACCTGTGCAGAGTGAGACAGCAGCCACTCCCTCCAGCCCTCCCAGCTTTCTATAGCTATTTATATGGCAAAATCTCAACGAAAGGTCTCCACCCTAAAAAAAAAAAGATCCTGTTTCTGGGTATGATGGACTAGGACACAGACAAGCCCCTCCCCTCTGCAGAAAACAATGATAAAACCTGAACATGACCCAAAAAGCAACTACTGAAAGTACTGGAGGGTGAAGAGAATCTGACAGACTCTGGCAGGGAGTACCTGTTTGCTGGGGAAAAGTGAGATGGGGAGCCACACACAAGAAAATTCCCAGCTCTGTGGCTTTTCACCTGTGGCTAAGGGCAGTCCACGTAGCATGCATAAGCACCAGTGGTGGCATACGTGGAAAAACCCCCAGGTTTTCTGGCCTGGGAAACAAGAAAGATGAAACCAGTGAACCAGAAAGATGAAGCCAGGAAACAGTGAATGCTGAGGAGAGTGGGAGGGAATGAGGGAATAAAACAAAGAGAAGAAGATATGGGGCCAGGGAACAGGAAGGCTAACAGAGCAGGGAGGAGGGATTCCTTTGGACAATGAAGAAGGGAGAAATTCAGAGACGGGATGCTCAAACTCTGTGTACCCATATCTCTGACACACATCTCAACCATGTGTATATGAAACAGGCTTAAAATAGCTCAGCTAAAAAAATAAGATCTGAACTGAGACCAGAGCTACCATCTAAAAGTGGAGTTTTCACACAGAACTATCCTGCAAACTCATGGGAAAAAAGTACTCACTGAGAAAAATAACAGAATGCAGAATCTCTACAACTTAACATTTATAATGTTCAGGATCAATCTAAAATTACCTGTCACATGAGGAATCAAGAAAACAGAACTCAAGAAAAGAAAATCAGTTAGGCCATATCCCAACATGAACCCAAATTGGAACGCAGAGATTTTAACATGAATATCATAATTATTGTCAATGAAGTAAAAGAAACATGCCTTGAACAAATGAAAATCTCAGCAAACAGGAAATCTCACCAGAGATATAGACACATTAAAAAAAAACTAAATGGAAATTCCAGAACAAAAAAATACACTTTCTGAAATAAAAATTTCACAGAAGAGACTTAGCTGAATAGACATACCAGAGAAAAGACAAAATGACATGCAAGATAGGTCAATATAAATGATCCAGAATGAAGAACACAGAGAAAACAAAACTTTAAAACATTTAAGCAGAAATTCAAGGACCAGTTAAATGATATACAATGATCCAATGTTCGTGTAATTTGAATACCAGAAGGAGAAAAGAGAAATAATGGGGAGAAAAAAAATATTTGAAGAAACAAAAGCCCAAATTTTCCTAAATTTGATTAAACACAGAACTTTGCAGATACAAGATGATAAACAAACACCACACAGATTAAACACAAAGAAGCCCCTGAGGTACACCCAAGTCAATGTGTTGAAAACCAAAAATAAAGGGTATTTTGAAAGCAGCAAGAGAAAAACAGCATATTACTTACCAAGGAATAGCAATCCCATTTACCACTAACTTCTTATTAGAAACCATGGAGGCCAGGAGAAAATGGAAGAACATCTTTAGAGTGCTGAAAGACAAAACTGTCAATCCAGAATTCTATACTCAGTGAAAATATCCTTTAAGAACACAGATGAAATAAAATCTTTTCCAGATAAAGTAAAACAAATGGAATCCATCACCATCAGATTTACACTAGTGAGAAATGCTAAAGAAGTTTTTTAGACTGAAGAGAAATGATATGAAAAGCAGTGGAAATGGTAACTACTAGTTAATACTGGGGTATACACAGAAATTTGGATTCTGAAATTGACAAAAACATTATAAAAAAAGAAAACTATAGACTAATATCCTTCATGAATATTGACAGAAATCTTCTTAACAAAATATTCACAAATTGAATTCAACAATACATAAAAAAATAATACATCATGTCCAAGTGGGGTTTATGTTTGGAGTTCGAGGTCATGTTTGGTTAATATCCAAAAATTATTCAATATCATTCATCATTTTAATAGAATAGAGGATGAAACCATATAATCATTTCAATGGATGCAGAAAAAGCATTTGATTAAATTCAACACCAACTCGTTATTTTAAAAAAATAATGTCAAAACTCTCAGCAAATTAGGAATAGAAGGAAATGTACTTCACCCTGATTAAGGGCATCTGTAGCAAACCTATAGCTAATATTACACTCAACAGTGAAAAACTTATGAAAAGCTTAACGATTTCTTTTTTTTTAAAAAGATTTTATTTATTTATTTGAGAGAGAGAATGAGATAGAGAGAGAGAGAGCACGAGAGGGAAGAGGGTTAGAGGGAGAAGCAGACTCCCTCCTGAGCAGGGAGCCTGATGCGGAACTCGATCCTGGGACTCCAGGATCATGACCTGAGCTGAAGGCAGTCGCTTAACCAACTGAGCCACCCAGCTTAACGATTTCTACCTAAGATCAGGAACAAGGCAAATTTCATTCTCACCCCTTCTGCTTTGTACTGAAGGTCCTAGTTAGTGCAATAAGGTACACACACACACACACACACACAAAGAAATAAAAGACAAAGAGATTAAAAATGAGGAAAACTCTAAGAAATCTATAAAAAGTCAACTAGATTACAAAGTGAATTTATCAAGGTTGCAAGATACAAGGTCACTTTTCAAAAATCAATTGTTAATACTATTGATTGGCAATGAATAATTAGAACACCAACCCTTTTTAAAATTTTTATTTTAATTCCAGTCTAGTTAACATACAGTGTAATATTAGTTTCAGTACAATATAGTGATTCAACACTTCCATGCAACACCCGGTGCTCATCACAAGTGCCTCCTGGATCACCATCATCTATTTCACCCATCCCCCCTCCCACTTCCCTTCTGGTAACCATCAGTTTGTTCTCTATAGTTAAGAATCCACCAATGTCCGAGGGGGCGCCTGGGTGGCTCAGTCGTTAAGCGTCTGCCTTCGGCTCAGGTCATGATCCCAGGGTCCTGGGATCGAGCCCTGCAT